TAAGGGGACTCCACAAAACAAATGACCTCCAGGAGCCAGACTTTGCCTTTTTTTTTTTTCTTTTTTTCTTCTTCCCGGTGCAATGGTCCTTGGGTCATTTGTGATAAAACTGCCTCATACACTGTCACTCCCTTCAAAGGACAGCGAGTCACAGTGTCTAAGGACAGCCATCTTCTGCAACCAGCTCCTGAGCTTGGTTAGGGTCCTTGGGGTCTCCGTCCTGGGGAGGGTGCAGCCGTGGCCCTTCTTAGAAAGCAGCACCTGGGAGTCCTGAGGTCCAGCAGATCTGAAGTACAAGTTCACCTCCAGGGTCAAGGGGAGAAGTGAAGCTTTGAGAAGGAAACCCCAATGCCCCAGAGGCACCTTTCACTCACAGGAAGTGCTCAGAGGTCGGGATTCAGTCGTGTGACTGGGATAGAGAAAGCAGAGCCGGGATTTGCCTTCTCTTCCCAATGCTGGGGCTGCCAAGATTCTGGGTCTGCCTCGATTTGGCAGTGAGTTCTGTCTGCCCATCCTGGGCTCCCTAGACCTTCTGGCAGCTCTGTTGGCTATATATTTAATGGGGGCTGGACAATGGAAGAGGTCAGTGTCAGGGACAGTGGTACCCACAGCATTCCCCTTCCCTCAGGCCACCAGTGCGGGGTCACACTGGCTAAAGCTTGTCCTACCAGCGGATGGGGGCCAGTGGGAAGGGAGGGTACACATCGCCACTGTCAACTGGTCCCTCTGGTTCCCTACCCCCACCTCCAGCAGCAGAAACCCACTATCCAAAGAGTGGGCTGACTTGCAAACTGTAGGTCCATCGAGGCCTGGATGGGAGGACTCGGGACTCGGGGGACTCTGGTAGTTGAACACAAGTACCCATACTCACAGAGCACCTCCTGTTGAAGCCCTGGTATTGAATGTTTCTGAGCTCATATAATGTAGGGCACAAATGCCAAAGCGAAAGCCAGGTGAATGCAATTATATAAAGAATAACCCCATCTGCAGTTAGAAGGGACATACTGATTCCGTAAAGAGTACCGAACAAGCACTGTGGGATCACACAAGGAACTGAAATGACAGTAATGCATGTGATCATGCTTGCAGTTAACAAAGTCTCCTTTCAAAACACAAACATTGCCAGGGGTTAGGGATGGGGGTGGCATACACCTGTAATCCCAGCAGCTCAGGAGGCTGAGGTAGGAGGATCACGAGTTCAAAACCAGCCTCAGCAAAAGTGAGGTGCTAAGCAACTCAGTGAGACCCTGTCTCTAAATAAAATATAAAATAGGGCTGGGGATGTGGGTCAGTGGTCAAGTGCCTCTGAGTTCAATCCCTGGTACAAACAAACAAACAAAAATAAACCCCACAAACATCCTTAAGAGGAATGTGAGATTAATCCTCAGCAGGCAGAAATCCCTACCTGTCCATGTTCTAATATAATCAAAACCTGCTCTTAATGTGAACATTTCAAATTATTAGGCACTTAATTAAGAAAAAGTGTCTTCCTGCTCCATTATGAGAACTCCTCACCAGCTCTGAGGGCAGGAAAAGCAAGAGACTGCTCTGGACAGAGCTGGGAAAGGCTGGCTGCCATTATTTAATAAAAGTGCTTAGTTTCCCCTTTTTTTTTTTTTTTTTGCTTAGGAACTGGTGCGCCCTTAGGGGTCAGACGCCACCAGGCTTCAGAACTGCTATTTCTAGGGCAAGATAAAAATGGGTATTACAGAAAAATAACAATTCATCATTGTAACCATTCCATGCCACTAGAAACCACTGGGGACCGCTTCACATTTTCATTTCAAACATGGTTTTCTCCAGTCCTCAGGTGACAAGCGGACGCGAATGCCAGAAGGCTTTCCCCCCATTTGTTCCTAATAAAAACGGCTCGACTCTGGGTGTACTGTCATGTGGGTGGACCCAAGGTCCGAGCTTTAACAGGCTGAGCCTCATCTCCTCGTTCCTGAGCTCTTCCTTTCAGAAGTCTCTGAAGGCAGGATCTGGCTGGGTCACCCAAGACAGATGGGCTCCTCGACTTCCTCTCCCACCCTTGGGAGACCCTGCCAGAGGGCAGCAGGCTACTGAAGGTGCCATCTCTGTTTCCCTGGCTGGTGCTGCTTGGTAAGGTCTTATCCTTGGACTCATTATGTATCCATACTAGCCTCCTTGGTACAGATGGATCGCTCTGTTCCAGAATACTCCTGGACTTTCTAAATGCTGCCATTGAACTAGTTCTTATTAATCTTCTCCCTTTATTTTATACACCCAAACATTCTTCATCTGACCTTGAACCTGGGGCTCATTTCCTGAAAGCAATCACTTTGGAATACCAATGAAAGTTTCAGAATCAATTTGGATTTTCTTTTCAAATCCTTGATGTTTCCTCCTGGTGTTGAGACCTTGTGCACTGAGACTAAGATGCTTCATCTTCCTTTTTCTTCTTCCTCTTAAGGAACAAGGTCTACATGGTCTACTTCGATTCTGAGAATTAAGATTTTTGTACTGATTAAAAGTGATACAGTTTTTTTTATTAAACACTATGAGTCAGGTGCTGCAGCAAGGAACTTCGAGGATCATTTAGTTTAAGATTTCCAACAGCCCCATGATGTAAATACCACTCTACACATCAGGGTGTAACTGAAGCCCAGAGAGGCTGAGTTACTCGCTCACAGCTGTAGAGACAATGCTAGGATCTGACTTGACTGCAAGTCAATGCAAGGTGACTTGACTCTGGAGCCCACATCCTCAGTCCCCACACCAAGCACAGAGATGCTCTCAACCAACAGACTGAGCCGCCGAGTTTCTAAGGTGAAGGGATCTGCGGCTTGATCGCTGGACCCCTCCCCTTCTCAAACACAATCCCATTTCTGAAAACCTGGAGTCCACAGGGCTCATCCTTGGGCTCCAGGATTGGCAGTGTCTGTGGTCAGTGCACAGAAGCCCAGAAGGAGAAACCCCAGCATCCGGGTCCCAGTACCCTAGGAGTGAAGCCAAAGGAATTCTGCACACTTGGAAGGGAGGCCTGGGGCAATTTTACCTTCAGTAGGAGTGTCTAGGGCAAGGCTTCATATCTCAGATAAATTTTAGTCTGATCAACAAATATGAAAAACAACCCTCCAATAGAGAAGGGGGGTGTACATACACTTCTGAGGGGTGAGGCTGGCACTGGGGCACCAAGCCAGTCCAGGGACGTACATGGCCTGCGGGGGTCACAGTGGACACTCAGGTATCCAGCCAGGCCTGAGGGCATGTGCTACACAGATGGGGTGCCTGGTGCAACCTCCTCTCCTAAGTCAATTCTATGTGGAGAGGTGCCCGTGAAGGAATAGGCCATGTGCCCGTGCCTTGGCAGTTGGGTTTTGACTTGTGAATAAACTGACATTTCTGGTTTATGCATCAGTCATTTCTAAGTTCAAGCAAGATGACTCAATTTCCCTGAGTCTGGCACAGTGTGGGTGTGCAGATAAGACTTCTGGATCTGCAGATGAGGGAACCCAGTCCTGCATCTTAATAACCTGAAGGGAAGGGAAACTTCTGCCCTGCCCTGATCCTCCGGCCCCTCTCCTGCTCTTCCCCGTCGCCCCAGGGTGTAGGCGGTGGAGTCCAATCAGAATCAGGAAGGCTAACTTGGCCCTGGTTCTTCCACGGTGCAGTCACTGTGTGCAAAGGCCGGCCCTCGGGTGGCACTCCTGGGGCGGCACTCCTGGGGCCTCCTGCTTCCCAAGGAACCTTTTTGCTCCTGGCACATTCTCATTCCTGTCCTTTCTCTTCTGTACCATGAGCCTCACCCCAGGAATGGGACCACCCCAGAGCTGGTCCTTGGAGGGAGAGAAGAGGCCAGGCTTGGTCTGAGCCCACACCATTCCCTCCAAGCCAGCTCCCAACAGAGCTCTGCAGGAAGGGGCTGGCCACTGGATCATGTGGCACTTCATTACATGGCACTTTGCTCTCTTAGAACTTCCTGGTTGGGGAGAGAGGTGGTGAGCAGGCTGGGGCTAGCTATGATGCAGGCTCTCCGGTGTTCTGCCGTAACATCTGTCCTGACTCTCAGCAGGAATTCCACCATGACAGTGTCCAGACACACCAGGAGCCAGGCCCCTGCAGCTGTGGAGGTGGACCATCCCAGCCCTGCCCTTGGGGCCAGCAGTGGCCCAGGGTGGTGGAAACCCCCACATAGCACACAAGCTCGTGAGCATCTGGACTTTCTCTTTTAATAATTCCCCATGTCTCCAGATCCTGATGCCGAGTGAAACAAATGATTCTTGAGATTAAACAAGAATTTCACGGACCCTCCACCCTGGATCTTACTCATTGTTAATGTTTCATTATATTTTGTTATTTTGGTCTTTGTAGGCCAAAATGAAGATTCGAATTTCTCAATCTCAGAGTGACGGATGTATTAGGTTGGAGGAGTCTTTGCTGTGGGGGTCTTGCCTGCGTCCTGTAGGACAGGCTTCCACCCACTATCTGCCCATAACACTGCCCACCCTCAGACAACCTAAAACATCTCCCAGCCTTGCCAAATGCCCCCTCGGGGGTAAAATGCCCCTGGTTGAGAATCCCTGACTTAAAAAGCTGACCCTGGTTCTTGCGACCTAAAGGACGAGGTTAAAAAGTTAGCCCTGTGCTTCTCATTCTGAGGCAGTGGCCCTATTAAAACACCCTTGCTTTGTCTGGTGTGCACCCTCCCATTTGTTTATTTAGGAATGACAGTCATTGTGGGGCAAAGGTCATTTCTGGGGAGCTGGCGTTTTGCCAACTGGCTGCTGTCTGGTGCCATCTGCCATCACCAGGCTCCAGATGTGTTTAGGGATGGGTTTGTGGGTGTCATCTAGTCAGTGTTCCCACGGGGCTGGGAGCTGATTTACCATAAGCTTCACGATTCTTGGTCTTTAGGGCCCTAAGTCCAACATGAGGCTCAGACTGGCGTGAGGACTGCCTCTTCTCTGGAAAGCCACATTCCCAGATGAACTGCAGAGCCCTGAGCTGCCCAGGAACGAACATTCATCCCAACTGACCTCTGTGAGTGTGTGCCAGGGACAGGAGAGTGATGTGGTGCAGGCACGAGTTCCAGGCATGGAAGAAGTCCTCTTTCTTGGTCACCACCTGGTACATTGACAGAAGAAAAACAGCCACTGATGACATTCTGAGAGAACTAAACTTTGCAACAAGACAGATGGCAAACATCCAATTTTTAATATACAATAAGAAAGGGCAAGGTCTCTGGTGGGCTGGCCTCCATGATCAGAAAGGGGCTCACTAGGTGCATGAATGTCATCAAGGATGTATGGTGAATCCAGGTCTGTGTTTATGGTAATTCCTCACTTGTCAAATATGGCGGCAGCCACGGCCAATTCTTGAGCAGTAAGAGACGTTCGAGAAACTTGAAGGAGAAGGTAAATGCACAGATACAGTGGACTGTTTAATAGGGGCACTCACACCTGAAGAATTCTAAAGATTAGAACTGACTACTTAAATCTAATCCCCAACGTGACCAGTCCACCTTCTCTCTTTCCTCCCTCCCTTCCTTCTTCCCATTGTAATCAGGGGCTTCCATTTTATTTCAGATCACCTCCTGAATTCCTGTGACATCCCAAGCATTGCTCTTTGGTAGTGTCCACATCTGACGTGTGTGAAGAACTGACATAAACATGGAAGCGGAATGCACAGTATGTTGTGACACTGTTTCAATCAATGAGTCACCTCGGGGGATCTTCACTGTATTAGGTGGTCTTTCAACCTCCTCAATGAAGGGCACCTTTTCTTTTCATTTTTCATTTGAAGGGAAGTGAGAAAACATGGCTGGAATAAAATAAGAACGAAGAAAATACACAAACAAGAGAAAGATGCTGCATCAGGAAGCAGAGAACTGGAGTCACTTCAGCGGAGCAAAGGGCAGATTCTTATCTGAGCAGAGAAAAGAGTTAAATTTGGCACTTCTGACTTTTCTTTGTTCCTTCTTGCCTTTCTTTGTTTCGAAAACCTAATGGCTTGATACTTAAACTTGTAGCAATCTTTTTGCTGCTCAAGGAAATGACACTCAAATAGAAAGTTCGACCTGATCTACCTACTTCCCATTTGTTTTAACTCACGCTCCCAGGAGCTCTCTCGGGTGGAAAGCACTCTGCTTTCCCGTAACTCTGCAGTTTCTTCGGGGGCCTGGAGGTTTTGCTGGGGGAAACGCTTCTTACAACAGAAGGCTATGTGTCCCAGTGGAAAAAGAGCACTGCCGAAAGTCGCTGCCCATGTATAATTTAGCACGATCACCCAGGGCGGCGGGCACGGCTTGGAGAAGAGGGATTTGCTTCCACACCTAACTGGGCGTCTTATGACACTTGAGGGAGAGGACAGTGTCTCCTCACTCTCTGGATCAATGCATCTCTGCATTGGTGTCACAAATACAGCTGAAAAGTTGTGGCAGAGACAGGTGACTCTCAGGGAGCAGCCTGCAGATGGAAGTGCAAGAACCAGCCAACCATTCCCAGAAGTTCTAGGAGATGCTGAAACTAACCATCATGCCATAAAGAAGAACACCAGGAACCCGACCAATAGGCTCTCTTCACACATGCCAACCACCCCCTCCATTGCAGGGGAATCAGAGAAGATGAATAAAACACTGCAGATGGTACACATAGAATCAAAGGCATTTCCTAATAACAACTCAATGTGTGGAATAAGTGTTTCACTGCCCTGATCAAGAGAAAACCAGGACAGACAGCTGGCTGGACAAGAGACTTCAGATAGGAAAACCTCATAGAGGGCTCTTTGCATACCTGCTGGCATGGAAGGCTTCAAAATGTCCCCAGAAAAAGGCAAAGGCAAGGTCAAGGAAAGGGGAAGATCCTGGAAGGCTTGCCAGCCAGTTCAAGAGCTTTTCTCATACGTCATCATTCTGGTACTGATGCTGGGGCAGGCTCAGTATATCCTCATTCCTGCTGGCAAGCAGCCCCCTACTTACCTACAAACTCACCCTGGGCAGGTAGGGGCACACCTAGGTCTTGGAGCATGTTGACAGAAAGGCAGCTTTGCATGGCCAGACACGCAGCAAAGCAACAGACAGAGAAGCTTCTGTCCCCTTGAAATATAATTTGTTGGCAGGAAATAATAAGATGAAGCCAAGTGGGACTTCATAGTGGTCCACACACACTCAGGTGGGCTGATCCAGGAGCCACATGAGGCTTCATTCCAGCCCACTCTCAAGAGGTGAAAGTGAACAGATCAGAAAGTATACTCTGGCTCAACCTCCAAGCAAAGTGACAATGTTCACCTCAAGTATGTCACTGCCTATAACTATAACCCTTTAATTTCCTTTGCAATGCACTAGATTTTAAAATGTGCTAATTGTGCAAACAATGTCTTGAAACAATAGGAATCAAGTGTACCACCTTAAAAAGCTTGAGGTAAGTTTTCAGGAGAGAGGACTTTTAACGTGATATAGTTGCTCTTTACTTCAGGCAGTGAGCCCGCTACCAAAAACGTGGGTGCAAATTAGGTGTATGCAAATTCACTCCTCATTTAAATGCAGCAGGCAACTGGCAACTGTTTTAAGCATTAATTGCATCTGTTCATTTAGTCTTCAGAACCCCTGGTGGTGGGTTTTATTGATATCTTCATTTTGCAGGTAGAAAACTGGCAGAGAAGGTTGAATAATTTTGTACAAGGCTGCAGAGCTGAGCTGTGTCTTGGCACCCGGTATTCCTAGCCCATATTCCTAACCATAGGCAACCCAGCTTCCCAGTGGAACTGAGGATAGGTAGTTCCCTGCAAAATCTGCCCCTCCCAAACACATTATTTGCAAAACACATCATCACACACAGTACCATTAATAAGTAATGATATGCCTTTAATAATTAATGTAAACAACAGCCCACCCTTAAAGTGTCTAATGAAAAGATATGCTTATTTCCCAATAAGTCAACACACAGCTGAGACATATTGCTGTAGATGAAAAGAATGTAAAGAAACATGATCTGTGTGGTAGATGTTCATATCCATTCCCTCCTTTTCTATAAAAACTCAAACAGATTTGGGCAGCAATATAGCCAGTTAAAATTACTTCCCCATAGAGGATCTACAAAAACAAAGAACCCATAGTCAACATAATACTCAATTGTAAAAGGCTAAGTGCTTTCCCTTAAGGAAAGGAAGACAATGGGGTCTTAGAGCACATTGGAAGAAAGGCAGATTTACTAGGACAAATGCCCAAAAAAGCCACTGACAGAGAAGCTTCTTCACCTTGAAATATAATTTGTTGGCATGAAATAATAGGATGAAGTCCACTGAGTTCGGGGATATCCATCATTACCACTTTTTTCAACATGGTGCTAGCCAAAGTAATAAGATAAGAAAAAAATTAAAATATCTTCATTCAAAGATACACAATTGTTTAGAAAATCCTAAGGAATGTATAAAAAGCTATTAGCACTAAGTAAATTAAGCAAAGTCACAAGGTGTAAGATGGACATTAAAAAATCAATTGCATGTTTATATTTCAGCAGTGAACAATTGGAAACATAAAATAAAAATGCTGTTACAATAATATAAAAATAGAAAACATTTAGGAATGTATTTTTAAAAATATGTGTAAAATCTATATCTGAGAACTGAAAACTATTGTGGAGGGAAATTTTAAAAGAGATTCTGTTTTCATAGATCAGAAAACATGATATTGCTACAAGTCACCTCTTTTCACATTAATCACATATTGATTCAATGCAAATGCTATTCAAAATCCTAGAGGATTTTTTTTGTAGAAAAAAAGCCAATTGTAAACTGATTTTAAAATTATGTAGAAATTTGTAGAGAAACTGTACAGACATGTAGAATAGTCAAAATAATTTTGTGGAAAAAAAATTGGAGGCAGTAGTTTCTATCCTCATGTCAGATAAAGTGGACATAAAGACATAGTTAATCAGAAGGTACAAAGAAGGACATTTAATACTGCTTAAGAGAATTATACATCAACAAGACATAACAATTGTAAATATTTATGCCCAAACAATGGAGCTTCTACATATACTACCAAACCCTCTCAATTTTAAGAATCAAATAGACCAAGTTCTACCATAACAATACTGGGTGACTTTAACACTCCACTCTCACAACTGGAAAGATCCTCCAAACAAAAACAAAGAAGCTATAGAACTAAAAATATAATTAATAATTTAGACTTAACAGACATATGTGGAATATTTCATCGATGCATCAATGACTGAATACACTTTCTTCTCAGCAGCACACAGATTCTTCTCTAAAATAGACCATATCTCAGGCCACAAAGCAACTCTTAGCAAATACAAAAACACAGAGATAATACCTTGCATTCTATCATATCATAATGGAAAAAAATGAGAAATAAATGATAAAATAAAAAATAGAAGCTACTCTAACACCTGAAGACTAAATAATATGCCATTGAATAACCAATGGATAACAGAAGAAATCAGGTATGAATTTTTTAAAAAAACTTGCTTAGAAGTAAACGAGAATAACAACACAACACATCAAAATCTCTGGGACATTATGAAGGCAGTACTAAGAGGAAAATTCATTGCATTGGTCTCATTTCTTGAGAGAGGAGAAAGTCAACAAATAAATAACCTAACATTACATCTCAAAGCCCTCAAAAAGAAAAAGAAGAACAAATCAATATCAAAAGCAGCAGAAGACAAGAAATAATTAAAATCAGAGCTGAAATCAAGAAAATTAAAACAAACAATCCAAAAAATCAACAAAACAAAAAGTTGAAAAAATAAATAACACTTGATTAGCAAGCTAACAAAGAGTAAACTCAAACTACTAAAATTTGCAATGAAAAAGAAAATATCCCAATGGACACTACTGAAATACAGAAGATAATCAGAAACTATTTTGAATATTTATACTCCAATAAGATAGAAAATCTTGAAGACATCGACAAATTTCTAGAGACATATGATCTATCTACTCAAATTGAATCAGGAATATATACACGATTTAAACAGATCAACTTCAAATAAAGAAATTTGAGACACCATCAAAAACCTACCAACAAAGAAAATCCAGGACCAGACTGATTGTCAGCCAAGTTCTACCAGAACTTCAAAGAAGAACTAATCAATCCTCCT